TCAGGTGGGCAGGAACAGCAGAACGAATTCCTGACCAGACTAAAAAATTTGTATGCTTCAAACCTTTACTTTTAGCACTATTATAAGATTCTATATTATCCTTGTTGAATTGCAAGTGGTTAATAAGGAGGATACCTGCTTTAACATAATTTGAATAATGTATTGTTTTATTATATCTCGTGAAGAGAGTTGAAAATACGACGCGTAGCGGAGTATTTTTGACGAACTGCGAGGTGTTTGGGAATTTGGTCAAACACTGTCTTGAGTGTTTGATATATCTTCTAAATCGAAACTAAAACTAAGGAGAAATAAAATCGTAAACATTTGTGCTGATTAAGATCAAATATCCAAGCACCGTCATGGTCATAATTTCCTTTGTTTAAACTTGATGAATTATTAACGAAAGAAAGACGGTTGTCCTTTGAATACTATTTGTATTTTAAATGCTTGTTATGTTGATTGACTAGTTGAGTGTAATTTATTCTTGTAGGTCGACGTAAACCTGTTAAGCCGGTCAAACCTGTTGTCCGTCCTCCAAGGGGTGAGTCATACGGTTATGTGTTCAAGTTTTCTATTTTTCTGTTCCCTTTTGGACGTAACATTCAGTTCAAATTTTGCTTAAGGGGTGTATACAAGGTCGCCAGGGCGAGACTTTCTCAAAGTCCTTCGAGCTTGTGCTTCTCTTCCTCAGACTGTTTGTACTCGGGTTTTGAATATCGCGGACATTTCTCTCGCTCCGAGCTCGGTTTTCGCAGCTCAGCTCTCCTCGGCTCGACTGAGCTCGCGGGCAAGTTTATGCCAGGGTGTGCAGTCGATTGGACAGAATTTAATGCTGGTACAGGCTGAATTCGTTTGGCTGCTATTTGGAAAAAAGAACCTGGGTATTTATGCGTTTGAACTGAAGATTCCTTTCATTGTGACTTCTATTTTGGCTAAAGGTTCGCTATATGGTGAAGTTCTTTGTATGAATGGCGGGGGACGGGGAGCGGGGAGCAGAAGGTCATTATATCCTAAGGTTAATTAAATCAGGGGGATTTGCACTTGCCAGTCTTGTCTCGATGTATGTTATACCGGTAGGTTTGTTTTGTTGGGTGCTAAGCTGATCTGTTATATCAATGTATCGATTGTAGAAGTAAATCTTGATTACCTAAACATTATTTTGTTTTCCTACCAGCACGAATATTCAAACTTACAAGGGGAATGATTGGTAAGAATATTTGATTCTTATGTGTGTTTTTCTGGGTAAAAGATTTACCTTTACTTGTTAAAAAAGTCTGGGAACGATACAGTAAAAACCTGCGTGTAAGAACCTAAATTTTTTTTTTTTGTCTAACAAAATAGGTTCTTGTATTTTGGGGTAGTTATTTGCAATTTAGACTAAGTAGGTTCTTAATTAGGTTCTTAATTTCTATGAAGGAGATATAGTTGTTGATTACCAGAAATATAAATAAACTTGGGTTTGGTCCTTGAACATACAGTGAATTTGTTAACGACGGTGTGATCCGTTTTCTTGTAATATAAATGTGCAATCTTAAAGTCGCACTCCGTTTAAAGGTTTAACTGTAACGCACAAATAAGAATCGTTATATCGTAGGGGTCATTTCATCGGAGGGTTTTTTGCATCTCTAAGTTCGTCACGTCTTGATGTAGGTCAATTCACTGGACTGTTCTGCGGTCTAACTTTTTTAATGTTACTGTATCTCACTTCAGCGTATAGTATTGGTTGCTACAAGGACACAGGCCGACGAGCCATACGTCCCTTGGAAGGCAGAAGTCGTTTCCTCAAAGGGCGTTACCGCAAGAGACAGGACGCCATTCGAAAATGTTTTCAGGCTGCCTACAGACGAGGCTACAAAATGTTCGCGTTACAACATGGCGGATGGTGTGCTTCGTCAAGGAGTGCTCATCTGACATACCGCAGATACGGAAGAAGTAACAGATGTAGGAATGGAAAAGGAGGACCTTGGGCTAATGATGTCTACGTCCTGAGAGGTTAGTATCCGTTTCAGCTTAGCATCCTGTGCTTGTATTGTACGTCATTGCATAATGTGCAAGGTTAACAGTTTTCAGTTCACTTTACTTCGCATTCTCCAATTAATGATTAAGTGAGTAATTACTATCTTGAAGTTAAAACTGTTTGTTATACCTCCCAACTCAAGTACGTTTTCCGATTTAAGGGAACGTGTCACGTGTCGCGGGTCAAGACTCACCAACTCCTTAGGGCGAGCAAAACTCACTAACTCCCTAGGGGAACAACAACGTGAACTTTCGACTTGCACGTGATCAGGTCGTGGGCCTTGAAAATGCGGGAAATATATATGCCAGCTGCTGTCAAGCATATTTTTTCGAAGCTTGTTCCATTTTTTAGTTGGGAGGTATAAAAAACACGTAATGACTGGCACCACGGGAAACAGTAAGTTTTACTTCTCTTGGAGCAAGTCATTAAGTAGTTATTGTGCTCTGACTTATGCTAAAATCTCAGAGTCACGGACTCAAAGTAATGTTTTGATCAGTTGCGTTCAAATCATCCACCATTTATTTAAGAGTAGTTTCACTTATCTGCAGTTCATGAAGTGTAATTTCCCCCAGATGGAATGTTCCTTCATCGCAGGGTTACGGTCCAGCGTTTGATTCGTCGGCACCCATTTATAACCTGGGTAAAGAGAGGTACTGTGAGAGTAAAGTGTCTTGCCCAAGAATACAAGGAAAGGATCCCGACTAGGCTCGAACCCAGACCTTTGGAGTCCACCATACTGATCACTTGGCCACACAGAGCACCACTGATGCTACGCATACACAATAATCTAATTCTATTTTCTTGCTGTTTTTCAGGTTCTTGTCCAATGCAAACTACTCGCAAAAACTGCTGTGTGTTCCCGTTCATCTATCGGCGAAGACGATACACAAGCTGTACCCGCGTGAGATCCAAACGGCCATGGTGCGCGACTACTTCAAATTATGACAAAGATAAAATGTGGGGTTACTGTGCAGGAGGAGGAGGTTAGGAACAAATTATGATAATTATTAAAATTATGCGCAACTACAAATTATGACAACGATAAAATGTGGGGTTACTGTCCAGGAGGAGGAGGTTAGGAACAAATTATGATAATTATTAAAATTATGCGCAACTACAAATTATGACAATGATAAAATGTGGGGTTACTGTCCAGGAGGAGCAGGTTAGGAACAAATTATGATAATTATTAAAATTATGCACAACTACAAATTATGACAGTGATAAAATGTGGGGTTACTGCCCAGGAGGAGCAGGTGGGGAATAAATTATCATATTCATATGTTGTTTCCAGTTTGATACTGAATTTCAAAACCTCGATACTTGCAAAATGTCTGATTTGTTTTAATTTTTTCGTTTTCTTCGCAGTATCCTTCATCAAGGTGACACCTTCGATAACAAGTAAGTAATAAAAGTCTGGACAGTGTTACTGGTTTTTTGCCACCATTTCATAATTGTTCCTCGGTCTTCGGCAACTTGTGTTTCTTGATTAATGAAGGTGACTTATGTTTCTTCCGATTTGGTTTCAGTCCAACGAATCGGCTGCTTCAAAGACACAGCACGTCGAGCAATCCCTCAAATGGACGGCAGAAGTGTATTATTAAGAGGCAACTACCAGCGCCGTGCTTTCGCTATCCGAAAGTGCGCCCTGGTAAGCGCAACACTCGGGTACAAGATGTTTGCAGTCCAACATGGCGGCTGGTGTGCAACAGGACCACGTGCTCAATATACCTTTGCAAAGTATGGTCGATCAAACAGATGCAGGAATGGCAAAGGAGGCCCTTGGGCGAATGATGTCTACAGAGTGTCAGGTGAGGCAGAGTAATGTATTGTACAGAGTGATTTTGTACGTAATATATCAAACGCGAAAGAAGGGTGCACATTTCCAAACACCGACGTATTATTGACGAGTTTCGAGGTGTTTGAAAATGTGGTCAAACACTGTCTCGAGTTTTTGATAAATCTTCTCAATCGAAACCCATTCTAATCCTAATAGACCATATTCGTATTCTTTGTTTAAACTTGATGAATTGTCAATGAGCTTGAGAAAAATATAGTACTATTGTGTACCTAACGAGACACTTTCGCAACTCTAAGAAAAATAAGAAAGCTGTTATGCAGTAAGCAATGAAAGCTCCTTTGCCAAAGGTACTTATACACAACACTAAAAAAATTATTTACTGATTATTTCTTGTGTACTTTTGAACTTAGGAACCTGCAAATATCGTACTACGAAAGGCAACTGCTGTTCGTTCCCGTTCACATATCGCGGGCGTCGATACAATCGTTGTGCCAGGACAAAGCGCGGAAGGACCTGGTGCGCGATCACTCCGGACTACAGATCAAACAAACTGTGGGGGTACTGCAGGGGAGGAGGAAGACGACGTAAGGCGTTGGCTTGTCATTCTTAAAAATCACAAATTATTATATTTTATCATTATTTTTAATTTATTTTAATTTATTATTATTTAGAATTTATTTTAATTTATTATTATTTAGAATTTATTTTAATTTATTATTATTTTTTAATTGGTTATAATTTATTATAATTTAGTAACGTTAATTACCGTATTAGGTTACGCATGATAATCAGATCTGTCAAACCTGGGGTACATGTTACCTGCCAAAGCCGTACGGGTGAGGCGGGTAACATAAACAGAGATCTCGATGATTTTACAATCTATCGAAAAGCGACACAAGTTAAACACTAACTCTTTCTCTTTCTATTGTGTTTCGCAATTTCGATTTGACTCCGGTCCTTTGACTTATTTCAACTTTAATTTACGGGCTTTGCAACTCGTTGTAGAGGCACGATGTATCTGTTTTGTTTGTTTGTTTGTTTTTGTTTTGTACTCAGAGCAGCACTGTTGACTCAGTTCTGCAGTCATTTTCTAAGCATCTGAAATGACCTCATAGCGCGAGGATTTCACTTATTCTTTTCTATCTCTTCGATGAATGAAAGAAAAGTGATCAATGTTTTGTTATTTTCTACTATAGCTCCACCAATCAGAATCACCACTGGTGTTGTTGGTAAGTTAACGTTTAGTATTCTCTGATTGACTTAGTTATTACTGCTTATTGCCTGCTACACTTTATAGTGGTTTTGTTAATCATCACAGTGGTTCTATTAACACTGTAACTGGCAATCGCTACGTCCTGAAATAGTGGTCGAAATTTGTGTAGGCTACCTCATATCATTTTATAGTTCACGACTAAATTTTCTCCCATTCTTATTGGTTGAAATTGTCACGTGACGCGATAGTATTCATTGGCGGAGAGACACTATCTGCCCATGGTGCCCGTCCGAGTAAAATACCCGATTGAGTGAACAACAAGAACAATAGAGTGTCTCGGAACTATCGGTCTCATAGTTGCCCCTTGGAAATTTGATGTTCTAAAACTAGCATAATTTGTCTTAAGAACATCAAAGTTCCGCGGAGCAGCTATCAGCCGATGGTTTCTCGACAGAAACACTCTATTGTTTAAATAGGGAACCTTCCCACAGTCTAAAATTCATATTAAAAGGATTATCCAGTACGGTACATTTGAGTTTCTCAGGTCGATTTTCTCGAGTTTGCTTTCTCGAGTTGACATTTTCATTTTGTTTCCGTAGTCAAGCCAATTGGTTGCTTCAAAGACACTGGCCGTCGAGCTATCCCAGGAGTCGACGGTCGTTACCCAATAGTTCGAGGATACTACAGAAGAAGAAAGGAAGCCATTCAGAAATGTGGCGCGGTTGCGCTGATGCGTGGTTACAAAGCGTTCGCTGTACAACACCAGGGGTGGTGTGCGACAGGTCCGAGAGCTCACTTGACTTACAGGAAGTATGGACGATCCAATCGATGTAGGAATGGCAAAGGAGGCCCATGGGCTAACGATGTGTACGTTGTATTTGGTAAGTGTATTTTTGATCTCATTGATTTTGTTTTAATGGACTGGGTAGAAATAGTGCGACGTAAGCCCGAAAAGTACAGTTGAAACTCTATACGTACAATGGCCACTCTGGAGTAGAATGAACTGGCCCTCAACAGGTATACTTCAGAAACGGATGTGATATAACTAAGTGATGCGTTAATCTATCAGTATCTGACTCGGAATTTGGGGGTCTGACAAGAGTATCTTGCTCAACAGCACGACGGATTTAAAGACCCAGGCCAAAGCTCTCAAATATCTCTTAATTCGGAGCCCAAAGCACTAACAAGAAGCTAGCGAGGCCGCTGTGCCTCTTAAATGAGCTACGTCACGGTTTGCGCATCTTAAAAAGTTTGGACTAAATTTTTTTAAGTGCGTCATTTGTCGACTTTGTAATCCGTGCAAATCTTCTCCATCCTTAACCATCCTTGTTCCTTTATAGTTTATTATTATCTCTTTGGTGTTTTTCTATCTTAGTAAATTATTATTTTCAGTTTTACTTCAGTTTAAAGGTAATTTTGTACGTGGTCAAAACAACTCAAAATACCGTGACTGAGCTGCTTTAAAAGAAAGCTATACCCATCGATTGATTTTGTCCTGTTTGTCTCTGTCTGCTTGTAACAGGGAGTTGCCGAAAGCGAACAACCTCACGATATTGCTGCGTGTTCCCGTTCATTTACAAAGGCCGCCGTTATAACAGGTGCACCAGAAAGAACCACAAACGGCATTGGTGCGCTATAACAAGCAACTATGATCGAGACAGAAAATGGGGCAACTGTGCGGGTTAGTTTACTTTTTAACCAATTCGAAGACCCTTCATCTAATAAATTATTATCCGCTGATTTCCAGAGTAAAAGTGCACAGTAAATTATTAACATTATGTGACTTTAACTCGAAGAGTGTCAAACAAATTCTGGTGTATAACCATTCAAAATTAATGGAAGCTGTTAAGTAGTAATTTCGTTTAGCACGCCGCTTTACTATGCTGCACAAGGTGACTGTAGCTTTATTGTTTCTCTGAATTTAGTTCCGGTTTTGTACTGTTTGCTTTTCTAGATTTAGTACAATGAAATGTGTGACTAGTTTTCAATTTTAAGCTGTGGAAGTTTACGAGTAAAGAAGCATTTTCCTGTTTTACTTTCAGGTCGTCGACCAGTCAAACCTGTCCGTCCAGTTCCTTCAAGAGGTTGGCACATTTCAATGTCACTACTATAATGTGCTCACTTGCAGCTTCTAGGATCGTTTTCGTGAAAATTCAAAAAGGCACAAATCAAAGCCGAAAACTACATTAATTTACATTAACATATTTTTCTTTTTCTTGTAGGACGACCTGTAAGAATAACAGTTGGCTTGATAGGTAAGTTCAGAATGTTTCCCGCCAAAACTGACACCGGTCCACACGGCGCAGCCTAAACGTTTTTCTATGAACTGTTTTCTGGTATATCTTTTTACGTTGAAATGTTTACTACTTGTATGTGATTTATGTTCATTAAGCTTTACTGAGTTCATCACTTCCATTACACACCTCTCGACCAATGAGAGAGCGAGTAGTGTCTCAGTTATTTTATAAGAAGTAATTAAAAAACTCCTTCTTTTTTCACTTAGCTAAGGGCATCGGTTGCTACAGAGACACAGGCCGACGAGCCATAGCAACTTTAGAGGGAAGGAGTCGTCTTCTAAAAGGAAGTTACCGTAGGAGACGATACGCCATAAAGAAATGTGCTCTGGCAGCGTACAAGAGAGGATACAGAATGTTCGCAATTCAACATGGCGGATGGTGTGCTTCAGCGAGGCGAGCGCACTTGACATATCGCAGATACGGGAAATCTAACAGATGTAGAAATGGCAAGGGCGGACCTTGGGCTAATGATGTCTACGTTCTGAGAGGTATAAAACTCAATATCTCACTTCCAGGTTGCCCTAAGCCTCTCTATCAAAGCAAGACTTGGTACACAACCATTCAATATGAAAATGAGTTTAATTTGCATGTGAATGAAATCTCAATTTCACATGAAAGGATGGTAACCAAGACTCGCTTTGAGAAAGAGGCTAAAGATAAATCGGAAATGGCCTATTGACTTGTGACGTTTGAATATGTCTCAAAGGTAGTTTGTTCTTTATATATGGAAGAAAAAGGAAAAACCTTCGACTTAACGTTGTCTTTTATGAATTTTTTTAAATTTACTACAATATAGCTGTTATCGCAGTTATCAGTGGTTTGACATAAGGGTCAATTCTGCCTTGTATTGACCCTTTCGCCTCGTTTTTACGCCATTTTTAACAAAATAATATTTGACTGCAATAACAGCTATTATTAGTAGTAGTTTCGTAGTTGCCACATATCACGTGAAAGACATGTTACAATTTCAGTTTGTTTGTTGCCTTCCATGCTGCCTAAAATTAACCTACACACCCCTTGAAGTATTCTTTTGTTTGCCAATATGTCCTCTTCTTCTTGTTGCTGACCGGTTCAGCGTCACACCATTGATGTCCCCATTGCTACTCGGTTTAAAATGTCGTTTCGGCGCCCCGTGACCAACGGGAACAGGAATGGCGTCACACGACAATGATTTTCATTCATGTGCTGGTTTACTTAATGAAATACAAACTCTTTTTTGCCGTTTTTGTTTTACCTTCAGGTTCTTGTCGCACACGTTCCTCAACTGGTAACTGCTGTGTGTTCCCGTTCATTTATCGCGGCAAACGATACAACCGCTGTACCAGGGTTAGGTCCAAGCGCCCGTGGTGCGCCATTACTCCAAACTACGACCATGACAAGCTCTACGGTTATTGCGGAGGACGAAAACGTAAGAAAATAATACCCGTATTTTTCTTGTCTTTATGAGGTAAAAGAAAGACTCAAGCTAATTTTGAATATTCTTATTCGTTTACCCAGCGGTGCGTCCTATCAGAATTTCCACATCGATAACACGTAAGTGGGCTATTCAAATTTCTTTTAAGACGCAGTTCCTAGTGCAGAGTGCCTTGTTATATGTTTATTCGCTGACTTTAATATAATGTTGTCAAGTTTGGGCAGATGTACATTTGACATACATACAACCTTTGTCATATAATCTATTTCCTTTGATTTCTTTTCAGTTCAAAGGATAGGTTGCTTCAGAGACACCTTCCGCAGAGCAATCCCAATCCTAGAAGGAAAAAGTCCTTTCTTGAGAGGAAACTACCAGAGACGAAAATTCTCCATTCAAAAATGCGCCCTGGTCGCCGTAAAGCGTGGCTACACTTATATGGGGGTCCAACATGGCGGCCAGTGCTTTTCAGGACCACATGCTTACAAAACCTATGCAAAGTATGGCCGATCAAACAGATGTAGAAATGGCAAAGGAGGAGCATGGGCGAATGATGTCTACAGGATTGCAGGTGCTTAGACTACTTGGTTACTGTTTTTGTCATGTTTGTCTTATCTGTCACAAAATGTTAGCTGTTACATGAAGGCTAACAGGGTGAAAGGATGAAATCAGTTTGTCTCGTTTCGATACAAACTGCCATTTTTTCACTCCCCCCCCCCCNTAGGGGAATCTTTGTTTACAATATTGCTCCATTAGCTTAGGCAATTCAGTTTGTAATCGAGGTACAAAAAAATATCAGTCCTGAATGTTGAAAGTTCATAGAACGGAATTTGAGCCCGAGCTATTGAATACTTCTTGTGCGGGTTTAAAGAATGTATGAGCTCATTAGCGCTTTTCCCATCCAGATATTTTGGCAAATTTGAAAGCCAAGTTCTCCTTTAATGTTGGATCCGAAAAGCTGAAGATTTCACTATGTACCAAGTTTCACTGGCTCTTTATATTAACTGTTTGGAGTTCGGTTCAAGCATTAGCATGCTAATGCTTCGGCGGATCTAGGGGAAGTTCGGAGGGTTCGGTCGATCGAACCCCCTAACTTAAAAAAAATGAGGCATTACAGCACGCTGGCCTGGCCTCAGAATGCCGGGAATCCCATTTTCAAGGACCTCAATTTTGGAAATTTTTCTCGGGAGGATGCTCCTGGAACCCCCTACAGATGCCCTCCCCCCCACCCCCCCTACTGTATCCGCCTCGGTATTGAGGCAAAATGTAAACAATGACGTCAGCAACGACCTCCCGTATTTTTCTCTCTTGCCGTTTCCCTACTGTCCCAACCAGCTGAACGCCTGAGACAGTCTTTTTTGCTGTGCAAACTAAGAATTGATTTTATTTTTTTTTAGGCAAATGCAGACAGAGCACTATTCAAGGCAACTGCTGCGTGTTCCCATTCAGGTATGGTGGTCGAACTTACAGGGGCTGCACAAGACGTGGAAGCCGATTAAGAAGAGCCTGGTGCGCAACAGTCCCAGGCTACCGCAAAGGACACCCCTGGGGGTACTGCAGAGGAAAAAAATGTAAGAACATTTTCGCTTACGAATTTTAGTATGGGAAATCAAATGTACTCAGGTGAAATTAGGAAACAATGTCACGCGCGTTTTGTCAAAATTTTGATGGGCTTGTAAAGATAATTCTTGATTTCATGTATTTTCTTTTGATTAAATACAAAGGAAAAGAGACAGGGTTTCTTTGGCCATCGTTCCACCTTTTCAATCTCGTATTTCAGACTTCCTAAGGTTTTTGATTCCTCTTCACATGTCATATATACACCTTTGTTTGCACCGTCACATCGTTACAAAGCATGGATTGTAATATTCCCGCTTCTGTTACTGTAACCTATTGATTCCAGCCTTGCAAGGCATTTTACTAGTAGCATTAGCATTTCTTGTACAATGTAGATGTAACAGCCTCTTACTGTAACTACGAGCTGAAATAAATTTTCATTTAGACTAACTGAAGCGGTGTGTTAATTTGTATAAATGATTTATTAATTGATGTATCAACTGAATTTATTCATTAATTTGTTTTTCATTATTTTTCCAACAGCTCCAGCTATACGAATTACTAGTGGAGTAGTGAGTAAGTTTTGCTTTCTTGTTTGTTTCTTTGTTCGTTTGTTTGTTTGTTGCTGTTGTCGTTGTTGTTGTTGTTTATTGTTAACTGTCAACGTTGTTTTTGTAATCAAAAAACAGTTGTTTTTCGCTCCTTGAATTACTTAGCATGTCCACCATAAACCATATATTGTCTTTATTTTTCTGTACACTAATTGTAACTCAACATGATATGTGATTTTTCTGTTGTCTTCTCCAGTCAAACCACTTGGATGCTTCAAAGACACTGCTCGACGAGCTATCCCAGGAGTCGACGGTCGTTACCCAATTGTTCGAGGATACTACAGAAGAAGAAAAGATGCTATTCGTAAATGTGCCTTCGTCGCGCTGATGCTACGAGCCTCGGTGTTTGCTGTACAACATCAGGGATGGTGTGCTACGGGTCGAAGAGCACACTTGACGTACGGAAAGTATGGACGATCCAATCGATGTAGAAATGGTAAAGGAGGTCCGTGGGCTAACGATGTGTACAGAGTGCATGGTGAGTTATTAGCGACTGGTACATTACATTGACTGTCAAGGCCTTGTTCACACTAGCGACGTAACGACATAAGAAGGACGTTGTGTTGTTATGTTTGCAGTGTGAACATCCTGCCATAATGACATATTAGCAACATAGCAGCATGAACATAACGACATAACGGGAAAAAAAACTGTTCTTTTCCGTGTGTCTTTATGTCGATGCTCAAATTGCCGATATAAAGCGATTATGTCCTTTTGTCGTTATGTCGCCGGTGTGAACTAGGCCTTACATTTTTTTCCCGTTCGTGCCGGCGTTTATTCGCTTTCCCTTTCAATACTGATTGTTTGTTTATCCGTTTAAAGCGGTTTTCAATTCATGAGTGTCGAAAGCATTCAGGCAATAACTTTGGTTTTGGTTTTGGTTTTGGTTTTACTCCGGTTTGAGATTGGCTGAGTAGTCTAATTGGTAAATAACTGATGGTTTGGTTTTGGTTTAACGACACTCAACTGAAAACCGCTCTATTTGCTGCTTGCTTGTTTGTTTGTTTGTTGACAATTTACGTCCATGGTAATCAACGGATATGCTATTATTTGCGGTTTTAGTTCACGAAAGCTATCTAAACCCATTAAGACGAGTAACTTTTTGAAAACTAACTGAGTTTGTTTTCGCAAGTTCTTATTTCTGCATTGTCTTCAAAGCCCGTTTGAAAAATGTGCTTACATTTATTTACAGGTTCTTGCGGAGCAAAGACAACGTCAAGGTATTGCTGCTCACTCCCGTTCATCTACAAAGGCCGTCGTTATAACAGTTGTACAAGAAGGAACCACAATCGACCATGGTGTGCTCTGACACCCAACTATGATAGAGACAAGAAGTGGGCCAACTGTGCTAGTAAGAGTCTGGAAAAACATCTTTTACAGAAAAAAAAAGTGAATTTGAATAGTAGGTTAAAGTTTCTTTAATCAACTGAATTGTTATTTTCTCGTTTTCTTGTAGCTCGTAAACCTGTTCGCCCTGTGAAGCCTGTCGTTCGTCCCCCAGGAGGTCAGTTCTACAGTTCTCGGAAAATTTTAATTAAACCCCTAAAGTAGACTTATCTGGGCGTGGGTCGGGCTTTATTTGACCCCTAAAAGATACCACTTGAAACGGAGTAGGTTCGATTACCAGCTGCTGTTCAGGAAGGGAGCCCGCGCTAGTAGACTGGACTCGAGAGACCAGCGGAAATCAAGCCTAAAACCGGGAATAACAAATTGTTTTTTTTTTTAATTATTACTTCTTCGAGTGCACCCTGTAAAATATTTTGACAGCTGAAGATAGTGGCGTTTCGTAATGAACACTCTAAGTGAGACCAGAATCCTTGATTTATATCCCTAAGTGAGACGATGAGCATTCTCGACCTTTTGATGTGAGAGTCTCTCTCCCCCCCNCCTCCCGGAGAGGCAGTAAACGATAGGAATAATCTACTGTTCAGACTAGAGGAGCTAGTGAACGACACTAAGTCCCCTTACCTCAACCTCAAAATAATAGTTAACTAGGACAGAAAGGCGTTAAAGAATTAATAATAAACAAAAAGGAATAAGGATGGGTTGAGGATGGAGAAGATTAAGATGGATTAAGAATGACGGACTTGAACGATTTCTTAAAATGCTTACCACGTGTTTTCTTTTTATTGCAGCACGTCCTGTTCCAATAACCATTGGATTGAAGGGTAAGTGTTAACATCGATAAATGATGTAGTTAAGTCATTCATGTGATATATGAAACACCAGAGATAAAGTTTCATCGTGATATCCAAACACCCAGAAGAGAGTTGAAAATACGATGCACAGCGGAGTATTTTTGACGAAATTCGAGGTGTTTGGATAGCCAATAAAACACTGTCTTGAGTGTTTGATATATCTTCTCAATCGAAACAAAAGCTAAGGAGTAAACGTAGAAGTAAAATCGTCAAAATCTATGTCTATCAAGACCGGGTATCCAAACCTCCTTCACGGTTGTGATTTTTTTTTGTTTTAACTTGATGAATTATAAATGAGTCCGAGGAATTCTATTACCAGTTTCATTTGTGAGGGTAGGTTGATTTCAGAAAACCGTTGAAACAAACTTAAAACCAACTAAGTTGTATTTAGTTTTTAAGTTCTTAGTAGAAAACAAGAAAAGAATGGAATGAGCATTAAAATTTACTGGAGTATATATAGGTTATTGACCAAGCGTGAGGTCAAGATGGCTGGATACTGGCCAAGTTCTTTTTTTTGCGTGTTTATGGACCGAGACGGAGTCGAGGTCCATAAGCTCGCAAAGAAAAAGAACGAGGCCAATATCCAGCCATCTTGACCTCACGCTTGGTCAATAAAGGATTTACTATACGGCTTTCAGGGAAATATTTCTTGCGGGACACAGCGGGTAGTCCCGAGAAGGCAAGATAGCGCCATCTTGCCCGCTCGGGTAGCCAATCACAGCACAAGATTTGGTTCATCTTGCCCGGTCTCAGAGCTAACCGTATAATATTATCACTTAGTGGCTGCTTTACGGACTTTGCAAGTCACTCGTGGTTTTCGTCTTGCTACTTTTTCTTGGCATAGTTTGCGCATGAAAACTTGGTAAGGTTTGGCCATGGGGGTTCCACGACCATTATTTTTACGCCATATTTGCATTTCAGTTTTAAATGGCTGGGAAAATCCCACCCCACCCCACACTGTATAATACATTATTATATCTTCATGTTTAAAACAAAGTATACAAGCCTAAACCAACCACCCGCTTTGTCCACCTGTAGCAATACCAATCGGTTGCTTCAGAGACACAGGTCGACGAGCTATAGCAACCCTGGAAGGTAGAAGCCGTCTTCTAAAAGGACATTACCGCCGCAGAAAATACGCTATACAGAAATGCGCTCTGGCTGCCGATAAACGACGCTACAGGGTATTCGCGATACAACATCAGGGATGGTGTGCGTCAGCGAGATTCGCTTATCGAACATATGGCAGATACGGGAAAAGTAACAGATGTAGGAATGGAAAAGGAGGACCTTGGGCGAATAGTGTTTATATTTTGAGAGGTAAGAAAATCACTTCGACTATGATAATTCAGGGCTGTCATTACGTTTTGATTCATCTATAGCCTTGATCTTCAAACCTGTAACAATCTTGCTACTTTGTGACACATCTGTAACATCAAGGGCCTATCAAACATACTCAGCCGTAACAGGTGTTACGTGTAATGGCCTTTTATATCAGATCTGTAATTTGTCTCCTTTAAATTCTGTGACTGCAGTCTGTTCTGTTAAGGGATCGGTCCCACGGCATTTCCGCTGCCAGTTGTTGGAAATTGCATTCAGAATCTTTTTTCAACCCTCTCTGTATAGTAGTCTTCTCTTAAGGCCCGTATACGATCCATCATTTCCTTTTGGCTGTAGCTATTAGCTTCTAATAAAAGCCTTTGACTCTTACCTTCTAAAACAAAACAACTGCTCAACCTGTAATGCACTGTTTAAGAACTTTCCCTGTCAGATTCACTGGGTATTTTTTACCAAGCGTCTTAAAGTTGTGTACTTATGGTGCAAGAAATTTCATATTAGTGATTTTCTTCCACTCCTACAGGATCCTGTCGCACACGAACAACTCGCAACAACTGCTGTGTGTTTCCGTTCATCTACCGCGGTAGAAGGTACACCAGCTGTTCTACAGCCAGATCCAAGGGACGCCCATGGTGCAGCCTCACTCCGAGTTACGACCAAGATAAATTATGGGGTTACTGTCGTGGAGGAGGAGGTGAGGAATAAATTGTCATATATAGTAACAATTTACAATAATTTATAATGATTTATAATAACTACTTAATAACCGAGAGTGAGGTCGTTACGGGAAAATCTCAAACTGAGGCCTTGCCGTATTGACCGAGCAATAGCGAGGTCAATACGGNACCGCAGAAGAGCCGATGCCATCGATAAATGCGCCCTTGTTGCCTTAAAGCACCGTCACAAAGCCTTCGCTGTGCAACATCAAGGATGGTGTGCTACGGGTCCAAAAGCTCACTTGACCTACGGGAGGTATGGACGATCTAATCGATGTAGGAACGGCAAAGGAGGACCGTGGGCTAATGACGTTTACTTTATATCAGGTGAGAGGAGCATTTGAGTTAATTAAGTTTTAAAATTGTCTTAGCTATAGCTCGGATAGGTTCTAGCGTTACCAGCTAGTAACTATCTTCAATGTCAGGCAAACAGTTGAGATCGATGCTCAAAGTCACCTTCAATCGAAATAAAACTTCATAACAGTCTTAATTGTTTTTTAAAAAAGAAAAGACAATAGGCTGTTTCCAAGTTACCGTGTGCCTCGATTTCAAAACGAGTCCTCATGCAAAACCTTTCACATGAAAATGAGTTTGATTGTATGAAAATGAGCCTGTAGGGGGAACCATTTTCATTTGAATGGTTTCGTTTTCGACTCGTTTTGACACAGAGGCAAAATGTAACTCGAAAATGGCCTGTTCCAACTAGTAGGGGGCTGAGGCTCATACAGAGCATGGCTGAGGAGTTGAACCAAGTTTAACCGAGAACAAATCCCATCCCATTTTTGCAATATGTGACCCTGTGTTAGCAACAATAAGCATGTAGGTTTGAAGGTTTGAGAACTTTCCTCTACGACCGTATTTATGAGCATTGTCGATGTTTTCTTGCGCTTTAAGTTATGGGTCGCCATGTTTTTTCCAACGTAAGATTAGTGGCAGGGCGAAGGTCTTGCGGAAACCTAGACCTCTTGATGACAAGACCAGCGCCCTAAACCACTCGGCCACCCTGCTTCCTACTGCCGGATAAAAATGAAGACGGATAAAGATATTGAAATACTAAATGTGCTCTGTTTCCACTTTATTTTCGCTGCAAACAGGGAGGTGCCGACAGCGAACAACTTCACGTTACTGCTGTAGATTCCCGTTCATCTACAAAGGCCGTCGTTACAACAGGTGTACAAAGAAGAACCACAATCGGCCATGGTGCGCCATGACAAGCAATTATGATCGAGACAAGAAATGGGGCAACTGTGCAAGTAAGAAGCAGTACGAACAGTCAAAATGAGGTTAACATTGTGAAGTAGCGTTAGTTTGGGCCAAAATAGAGTCGATGTGAAATCATTTCCGTAGAATTTGCGTTGTACAGGCAACCTACAAATTGGTGAATTTAAATACGAAACTGACTTTTTTTTTATCGACAACTGTCAGTTGTGCCAAAATACCTAGACCCTATGGGCACAGTACTGAGCAAAATTTGAACTCTTGATGAACAATGAAATTCTCTGAACCAGAACTGTTAGGAATATGTGGAACCAGTAAAGGGAATTTGGAGTAAGATATTGTAAATTTTAGGGTTAATGTACTATACTGACTTTACTTCGTTTAAATCAAACTGAAATGTCCACATCATCCAATCAATTGAAGAAGTTAATTATAACAATTTATTCTTATGCATTATTCATTATTCGCCAAATCTCGTTTTAAAAGTTTTTTCTCTTTTTATAGGAGGTTCGCGAGCCGTTTGTAACCTGCCTAAAGTCACTGGTCCTTGCAGAGCGGCCTTTAGGAGATGGTATTTCAACAAAGCGACAGGAAGATGCGAGATGTTCACTTATGGCGGCTGTAGGGGAAATGCTAACAACTTTAGAACCAAGAGTGAATGTGAACAGAAATGTCTGAAATGTAAGTCTTTCAGTTCAGCGGAGCAAACTCAAAATTTCAACCCGTTTGCATGTCACTGAAGGTTATAAACGTACATTTATCCAATAGTGTCTGACTTAGAGATGTCAGAAGCTAACAACTGAGAGCGAGGAAAAGTTTTCTGCTTTTCTAGCTCGAGATTTCTATCGCAGGATAATTGAAGAGGGCACAGCCCGAGTCAACTATGACGCATAGAAATCGAGAAGGAATAATTTAATTGTTGTAGTATGAATCTACTGGTCATTCAAAACTTTATTTAAATCCTCTTCTCAGACACTTCGAAAACGCAAAGAAGCGGCCGCCATTTTGTTAACAACCGCAAATAGCTGTTATTGAAGTTATCAGCGGTTTGACATACAAAGGAATATTTGACCGCGGTTCAACTGCAATAACTGCCTGTCTATTTGTCTGTCTATTTGTCTGTCTAATTATCTGTCTCTGTCTGTCAGTTCAATCTTCTGTTGTCAAGTTCAGTTACGTTTTTAATTAAACGTAGTAAGGAATTTTTACTGTTCTTGTTTTCAGCGAGACCAATTAGAGTGACAACCGGAGTGATTGGTAGGTAGTCTGTATTTGGTTCTATTATTTTGTATGATCATAACTAGATGTAAAAGCTGAAAATTGGGCTAATAAAAGTATAAACTTATCAAAATCGTATAGTAGATAACACAACGAAACCGTGGTTTACTAGCCCTAAATGAATCTTCTTACGTTCACAGTCAGGTCCATCGGTTGTTTCCGAGACACTGGTCGTCGAGCCATTCCTGGAGTTGATGGTACGGACCCCCTTCTTCGAGATCAGTACCGCAGAAGAGCCGATGCCATCGATAAATGCGCCCTTGTTGCCTTAAAGCACCGTCACAAAGCCTTCGCTGTGCAACATCAAGGATGGTGTGCTACGGGTCCAAAAGCTCACTTGACCTACGGGAGGTATGGACGATCTAATCGATGTAGGAACGGCAAAGGAGGACCGTGGGCTAATGACGTTTACTTTATATCAGGTGAGAGGAGCATTTGAGTTAATTAAGTTTTAAAATTGTCTTAGCTATAGCTCGGATAGGTTCTAGCGTTACCAGCTAGTAACTATCTTCAATGTCAGGCAAACAGTTGAGATCGATGCTCAAAGTCACCTTCAATCGAAATAAAACTTCATAACAGTCTTAATTGTTTTTTAAAAAAGAAAAGACAATAGGCTGTTTCCAAGTTACCGTGTGCCTCGATTTCAAAACGAGTCCTCATGCAAAACCTTTCACATGAAAATGAGTTTGATTGTATGAAAATGAGCCTGTAGGGGGAACCATTTTCATTTGAATGGTTTCGTTTTCGACTCGTTTTGACACAGAGGCAAAATGTAACTCGAAAATGGCCTGTTCCAACTAGTAGGGGGCTGAGGCTCATACAGAGCATGGCTGAGGAGTTGAACCAAGTTTAACCGAGAACAAATCCCATCCCATTTTTGCAATATGTGACCCTGTGTTAGCAACAATAAGCATGTAGGTTTGAAGGTTTGAGAACTTTCCTCTACGACCGTATTTATGAGCATTGTCGATGTTTTCTTGCGCTTTAAGTTATGGGTCGCCATGTTTTTTCCAACGTAAGATTAGTGGCAGGGCGAAGGTCTTGCGGAAACCTAGACCTCTTGATGACAAGACCAGCGCCCTAAACCACTCGGCCACCCTGCTTCCTACTGCCGGATAAAAATGAAGACGGATAAAGATATTGAAATACTAAATGTGCTCTGTTTCCACTTTATTTTCGCTGCAAACAGGGAGGTGCCGACAGCGAACAACTTCACGTTACTGCTGTAGATTCCCGTTCATCTACAAAGGCCGTCGTTACAACAGGTGTACAAAGAAGAACCACAATCGGCCATGGTGCGCCATGACAAGCAATTATGATCGAGACAAGAAATGGGGCAACTGTGCAAGTAAGAAGCAGTACGAACAGTCAAAATGAGGTTAACATTGTGAAGTAGCGTTAGTTTGGGCCAAAATAGAGTCGATGTGAAATCATTTCCGTAGAATTTGCGTTGTACAGGCAACCTACAAATTGGTGAATTTAAATACGAAACTGACTTTTTTTTTATCGACAACTGTCAGTTGTGCCAAAATACCTAGACCCTATGGGCACAGTACTGAGCAAAATTTGAACTCTTGATGAACAATGAAATTCTCTGAACCAGAACTGTTAGGAATATGTGGAACCAGTAAAGGGAATTTGGAGTAAGATATTGTAAATTTTAGGGTTAATGTACTATACTGACTTTACTTCGTTTAAATCAAACTGAAATGTCCACATCATCCAATCAATTGAAGAAGTTAATTATAACAATTTATTCTTATGCATTATTCATTATTCGCCAAATCTCGTTTTAAAAGTTTTTTCTCTTTTTATAGGAGGTTCGCGAGCCGTTTGTAACCTGCCTAAAGTCACTGGTCCTTGCAGAGCGGCCTTTAGGAGATGGTATTTCAACAAAGCGACAGGAAGATGCGAGATGTTCACTTATGGCGGCTGTAGGGGAAATGCTAACAACTTTAGAACCAAGAGTGAATGTGAACAGAAATGTCTGAAATGTAAGTCTTTCAGTTCAGCGGAGCAAACTCAAAATTTCAACCCGTTTGCATGTCACTGAAGGTTATAAACGTACATTTATCCAATAGTGTCTGACTTAGAGATGTCAGAAGCTAACAACTGAGAGCGAGGAAAAGTTTTCTGCTTTTCTAGCTCGAGATTTCTATCGCAGGATAATTGAAGAGGGCACAGCCCGAGTCAACTATGACGCATAGAAATCGAGAAGGAATAATTTAATTGTTGTAGTATGAATCTACTGGTCATTCAAAACTTTATTTAAATCCTCTTCTCAGACACTTCGAAAACGCAAAGAAGCGGCCGCCATTTTGTTAACAACCGCAAATAGCTGTTATTGAAGTTATCAGCGGTTTGACATACAAAGGAATATTTGACCGCGGTTCAACTGCAATAACTGCCTGTCTATTTGTCTGTCTATTTGTCTGTCTAATTATCTGTCTCTGTCTGTCAGTTCAATCTTCTGTTGTCAAGTTCAGTTACGTTTTTAATTAAACGTAGTAAGGAATTTTTACTGTTCTTGTTTTCAGCGAGACCAATTAGAGTGACAACCGGAGTGATTGGTAGGTAGTCTGTATTTGGTTCTATTATTTTGTATGATCATAACTAGATGTAAAAGCTGAAAATTGGGCTAATAAAAGTATAAACTTATCAAAATCGTATAGTAGATAACACAACGAAACCGTGGTTTACTAGCCCTAAATGAATCTTCTTACGTTCACAGTCAGGTCCATCGGTTGTTTCCGAGACACTGGTCGTCGAGCCATTCCTGGAGTTGATGGTACGGACCCCCTTCTTCGAGATCAGTACCGCAGAAGAGCCGATGCCATCGATAAATGCGCCCTTGTTGCCTTAAAGCACCGTCACAAAGCCTTCGCTGTGCAACATCAAGGATGGTGTGCTACGGGTCCAAAAGCTCACTTGACCTACGGGAGGTATGGACGATCTAATCGATGTAGGAACGGCAAAGGAGGACCGTGGGCTAATGACGTTTACTTTATATCAGGTGAGAGGAGCATTTGAGTTAATTAAGTTTTAAAATTGTCTTAGCTATAGCTCGGATAGGTTCTAGCGTTACCAGCTAGTAACTATCTTCAATGTCAGGCAAACAGTTGAGATCGATGCTCAAAGTCACCTTCAATCGAAATAAAACTTCATAACAGTCTTAATTGTTTTTTAAAAAAGAAAAGACAATAGGCTGTTTCCAAGTTACCGTGTGCCTCGATTTCAAAACGAGTCCTCATGCAAAACCTTTCACATGAAAATGAGTTTGATTGTATGAAAATGAGCCTGTAGGGGGAACCATTTTCATTTGAATGGTTTCGTTTTCGACTCGTTTTGACACAGAGGCAAAATGTAACTCGAAAATGGCCTGTTCCAACTAGTAGGGGGCTGAGGCTCATACAGAGCATGGCTGAGGAGTTGAACCAAGTTTAACCGAGAACAAATCCCATCCCATTTTTGCAATATGTGACCCTGTGTTAGCAACAATAAGCATGTAGGTTTGAAGGTTTGAGAACTTTCCTCTACGACCGTATTTATGAGCATTGTCGATGTTTTCTTGCGCTTTAAGTTATGGGTCGCCATGTTTTTTCCAACGTAAGATTAGTGGCAGGGCGAAGGTCTTGCGGAAACCTAGACCTCTTGATGACAAGACCAGCGCCCTAAACCACTCGGCCACCCTGCTTCCTACTGCCGGATAAAAATGAAGACGGATAAAGATATTGAAATACTAAATGTGCTCTGTTTCCACTTTATTTTCGCTGCAAACAGGGAGGTGCCGACAGCGAACAACTTCACGTTACTGCTGTAGATTCCCGTTCATCTACAAAGGCCGTCGTTACAACAGGTGTACAAAGAAGAACCACAATCGGCCATGGTGCGCCATGACAAGCAATTATGATCGAGACAAGAAATGGGGCAACTGTGCAAGTAAGAAGCAGTACGAACAGTCAAAATGAGGTTAACATTGTGAAGTAGCGTTAGTTTGGGCCAAAATAGAGTCGATGTGAAATCATTTCCGTAGAATTTGCGTTGTACAGGCAACCTACAAATTGGTGAATTTAAATACGAAACTGACTTTTTTTTTATCGACAACTGTCAGTTGTGCCAAAATACCTAGACCCTATGGGCACAGTACTGAGCAAAATTTGAACTCTTGATGAACAATGAAATTCTCTGAACCAGAACTGTTAGGAATATGTGGAACCAGTAAAGGGAATTTGGAGTAAGATATTGTAAATTTTAGGGTTAATGTACTATACTGACTTTACTTCGTTTAAATCAAACTGAAATGTCCACATCATCCAATCAATTGAAGAAGTTAATTATAACAATTTATTCTTATGCATTATTCATTATTCGCCAAATCTCGTTTTAAAAGTTTTTTCTCTTTTTATAGGAGGTTCGCGAGCCGTTTGTAACCTGCCTAAAGTCACTGGTCCTTGCAGAGCGGCCTTTAGGAGATGGTATTTCAACAAAGCGACAGGAAGATGCGAGATGTTCACTTATGGCGGCTGTAGGGGAAATGCTAACAACTTTAGAACCAAGAGTGAATGTGAACAGAAATGTCTGAAATGTAAGTCTTTCAGTTCAGCGGAGCAAACTCAAAATTTCAACCCGTTTGCATGTCACTGAAGGTTATAAACGTACATTTATCCAATAGTGTCTGACTTAGAGATGTCAGAAGCTAACAACTGAGAGCGAGGAAAAGTTTTCTGCTTTTCTAGCTCGAGATTTCTATCGCAGGATAATTGAAGAGGGCACAGCCCGAGTCAACTATGACGCATAGAAATCGAGAAGGAATAATTTAATTGTTGTAGTATGAATCTACTGGTCATTCAAAACTTTATTTAAATCCTCTTCTCAGACACTTCGAAAACGCAAAGAAGCGGCCGCCATTTTGTTAACAACCGCAAATAGCTGTTATTGAAGTTATCAGCGGTTTGACATACAAAGGAATATTTGACCGCGGTTCAACTGCAATAACTGCCTGTCTATTTGTCTGTCTATTTGTCTGTCTAATTATCTGTCTCTGTCTGTCAGTTCAATCTTCTGTTGTCAAGTTCAGTTACGTTTTTAATTAAACGTAGTAAGGAATTTTTACTGTTCTTGTTTTCAGCGAGACCAATTAGAGTGACAACCGGAGTGATTGGTAGGTAGTCTGTATTTGGTTCTATTATTTTGTATGATCATAACTAGATGTAAAAGCTGAAAATTGGGCTAATAAAAGTATAAACTTATCAAAATCGTATAGTAGATAACACAACGAAACCGTGGTTTACTAGCCCTAAATGAATCTTCTTACGTTCACAGTCAGGTCCATCGGTTGTTTCCGAGACACTGGTCGTCGAGCCATTCCTGGAGTTGATGGTACGGACCCCCTTCTTCGAGATCAGTACCGCAGAAGAGCCGATGCCATCGATAAATGCGCCCTTGTTGCCTTAAAGCACCGTCACAAAGCCTTCGCTGTGCAACATCAAGGATGGTGTGCTACGGGTCCAAAAGCTCACTTGACCTACGGGAGGTATGGACGATCTAATCGATGTAGGAACGGCAAAGGAGGACCGTGGGCTAATGACGTTTACTTTATATCAGGTGAGAGGAGCATTTGAGTTAATTAAGTTTTAAAATTGTCTTAGCTATAGCTCGGATAGGTTCTAGCGTTACCAGCTAGTAACTATCTTCAATGTCAGGCAAACAGTTGAGATCGATGCTCAAAGTCACCTTCAATCGAAATAAAACTTCATAACAGTCTTAATTGTTTTTTAAAAAAGAAAAGACAATAGGCTGTTTCCAAGTTACCGTGTGCCTCGATTTCAAAACGAGTCCTCATGCAAAACCTTTCACATGAAAATGAGTTTGATTGTATGAAAATGAGCCTGTAGGGGGAACCATTTTCATATGAATGGTTTCGTTTTCGACTCGTTTTGACACAGAGGCAAAATGTAACTCGAAAATGGCCTGTTCCAACTAGTAGGGGGCTGAGGCTCATACAGAGCATGGCTGAGGAGTTGAACCAAGTTTAACCGAGAACAAATCCCATCCCATTTTTGCAATATGTGACCCTGTGTTAGCAACAATAAGCATGTAGGTTTGAAGGTTTGAGAACTTTCCTCTACGACCGTATTTATGAGCATTGTCGATGTTTTCTTGCGCTTTAAGTTATGGGTCGCCATGTTTTTTCCAACGTAAGATTAGTGGCAGGGCGAAGGTCTTGCGGAAACCTAGACCTCTTGATGACAAGACCAGCGCCCTAAACCACTCGGCCACCCTGCTTCCTACTGCCGGATAAAAATGAAGACGGATAAAGATATTGAAATACTAAATGTGCTCTGTTTCCACTTTATTTTCGCTGCAAACAGGGAGGTGCCGACAGCGAACAACTTCACGTTACTGCTGTAGATTCCCGTTCATCTACAAAGGCCGTCGTTACAACAGGTGTACAAAGAAGAACCACAATCGGCCATGGTGCGCCATGACAAGCAATTATGATCGAGACAAGAAATGGGGCAACTGTGCAAGTAAGAAGCAGTACGAACAGTCAAAATGAGGTTAACATTGTGAAGTAGCGTTAGTTTGGGCCAAAATAGAGTCGATGTGAAATCATTTCCGTAGAATTTGCGTTGTACAGGCAACCTACAAATTGGTGAATTTAAATACGAAACTGACTTTTTTTTTATCGACAACTGTCAGTTGTGCCAAAATACCTAGACCCTATGGGCACAGTACTGAGCAAAATTTGAACTCTTGATGAACAATGAAATTCTCTGAACCAGAACTGTTAGGAATATGTGGAACCAGTAAAGGGAATTTGGAGTAAGATATTGTAAATTTTAGGGTTAATGTACTATACTGACTTTACTTCGTTTAAATCAAACTGAAATGTCCACATCATCCAATCAATTGAAGAAGTTAATTATAACAATTTATTCTTATGCATTATTCATTATTCGCCAAATCTCGTTTTAAAAGTTTTTTCTCTTTTTATAGGAGGTTCGCGAGCCGTTTGTAACCTGCCTAAAGTCACTGGTCCTTGCAGAGCGGCCTTTAGGAGATGGTATTTCAACAAAGCGACAGGAAGATGCGAGATGTTCATTTATGGCGGCTGTAGGGGAAATGCTAACAACTTTAGAACCAAAACTGAATGTGAACAGAAATGTTTGAAATGTAAGTCTTTCAGTACAGAGCAAATTCAAAATTTCAACCCGTTTTTACTGATACTGATAGGCGGCTGCATAATTGATAAGTCGCTCCTCTGATTATAAGTGTTTAACCAGGTTGTCAACTACAGTCGAACCTCTTTAATGCGGACACCACAGCGACAGAGCTGGGTGTCTGTATTAAAGATTCATGAAATCTGATTTCTCTAGAACCAAATGAGCAGTCCGTTATGTAGAGGTTTGCATATTATGGAGGTGTCTGCTGTGAAGAGAGGTTCGACTTGTACCACCTTGCAAATACCTTTAAGCAGTGTTGCCCCGCTTTATTCAACATTCATAAAAAACATTGAGGTAGTTTTGTCAAAGTGACTTTTTCATTCTCATTCCAGCACCGTATTTCTTGTTTCATTTGCAAGACGCTTTGAGATATTTTTTATCTGATTTTCTCATATTACTCTATGATATTTGATAGTTAGATTATGAGCTGGAGATTTCTGTGGCGTGATAGTTGACGAGGGCGCATCCCCGTGCAACGTTGTGTGATATTTTGTAAATAGCCTAAATCAAGCTCAACTTGTTATAGAAACTAGTAACCACAATTCTATGTTAAACATGTGCGTTTCTTTATTTTTAGCGAGAAGGCCAGTCTATCCGATCAGACCGACCAGACGACCAAGGTTACCAGCACGTGGTAAGAGAACATAATCAATCATCCCCTCACCCCAAAGAGCTCCCATGTTTAAAATTTAGTTTTCGTTGTACGAAATAATGAAAAAAGAAGCCACACCACATGAAAGTACTGCACAATAGCTTTCATTTGAATGGTCGCACACATAGGTTTTATTCAAAGGCTTCAATAGTAACAATAGACATGATATACAGTAACTCCTGAGAATATACCTTTGTAGCTTCCAGCTGTATTGTTACATACTTGACTTTCATCCACGGACAGAATAACAGTTAGAACCACCTTGTACAAAATAACAAACAGTACTACACGAAAGTACTGCTCAAAAGCTTTCATTTGAATGGCCACACACTAGGGCTTTAAAAGCTGAAAACACAGTGAAAAGTCAGTTTTGCTGACCAATATATATCCTGAAAATAACTCGTGTTATGATATATGCAGGAGTGTCCCACATCCCTGTTACCGCTGACATTGCGTTCTTGATCGATGGCTCCCGCTACGTGGGCCGCCGAAACTTCCACCTTGAGAAAGCCTTCATCAAGTCAATCGCCGGCCGCTTCACGATCGGCAAGTATCAATCGCACATCGGAGTCGCCACCTACGGTAACCGACCGCACCTGCGCATGCGCTTTAACCAGTACAGTTCTTTGGGTTTGGTACTAAGGGCCTTGAATTACATCCGTTTTCCAAACCAAGTCAGCAGACGAGTCGATCTTGGATTGCAAGCCTCTCTGCGCTACTTCTTCTCAAGAAGAAACATGTACTCATTCGTCCGCAAGATTTTGGTGGTGGTTGTCAGCGGCAGGCAGACGGGACGGTCGTCTTATGTCATGAACAGGCTTCCATCTCTGTTTAGGCGTCAAGGCGTGCTCGTCTTCATTGTAGGCGTCGGTCGTGTTGACCAGAGATACCTGCGACCACTCACCTACAGGAACAAGCACGTGTATGTCGTTCGCTCGTACAGGAGCCTGGTCGCTAGATCGGGTAGCATTGCCAGGGCGATACACCAGGAGATGGTATGTAACAGAAAATCACAGACAATCATGAGAGAACCACATAACAGAAAATTGTTTGAGTCCTGTACCGCAAACACAATCAAGCAGCGAGTCTTTAAAGTCTTAGTCTTTCCACCGACGTTTTTGTTTTTTTTTTTTTATGCGATTTTTTTGACGAACTCAAGACAAAATAGAGGCTTTATGGACAGTCTTTTCAAAATACACTTGCAGAACTGCCTCGGCAATTACCCAATCGGACAGCTTTTTCGACGTGTTTAGATCTAATAAACACAGTGCCTACTTGGCTAGCGCTCAGGAAGGAGCGCGCAAAGTGTAGAGTTCTTTGTAAAATACAACTTATATGCTGCGCACGTTATGATTGGTCAGTAATTTTCCACTATTATCAAAATAAACCTTGTGACTACTTTAGAACTTGAATACACTCAACAAATCACCTATTTCTTTGGTTTCTTTTAAGAAATGATCATTGCAGTTAATTTCGTTGGAAAGGTTATTGTATATTGATCAATCGCTGCAACCGAAAAAATAAATAAATAAAAAGACTTTATTTAACGAGGGTAACCGAAAATGTCAGTGCCTATGAAGTAAAAAATAATTTCTGCTGATTTGAAAGGCTTTTCAAAGTAAAGAAGAATGGCGTTTTCCTTTTTGGAATATCTTTTTTCGTTTTAGAGATATTCACGTTTTTGTATTATA